TTTTTTTTGTCGATTATATTTTTATCAAGATTTTTGTATAATTTTTGTCTCATTCTATAAGAGATTGCTACTCTTTTTTTTTTTTATTTTGCGATTAATATTTGAAAGATACTATTTGCAAAAAATTTCTACATATTGGTTTCTACTTTTTTTAGCCAATTTCGAAAGGGTTTTCCTAATACATTTCATTTTATTCGATTTATCGGGTTTATTCACATAACATGTTCGAATTGTTTTTAAAAAAATTGATGGTGCGTAAAATAAATGCAATTTGAACATTATAGAATAAACGTTATCGTATGTTTTTTTCAAAGAGATTTTGTGACGTAAGTCATATTTATTAACTTATTTAATTGTCATTTTTTTTTGCATATCAAAACGTATAAATTCTATCCTATTATATCAAACAAAATTATTTGTGCGTATCTTTATTTATACGTCAAAAACATTTTTACAAATAAGACAAAATAAATAATGTTGTGAACAATGAGATATTTAATAATGTATAATTAAAATTTTATTTTATTTCAATACATTAATTTTATGATATCGCCAATCATCTTAGCATCCAAATCTAAGTTGAGCTCTCTTTTATAAGAGATTGCTACTCTTTTTTTTTTTCTTTTCTTTTTTTTTTTTTATTTTGCGATTAATATTTGAAAGATACTATTTGCAAAAATTCTCTACAAATTAGTTTTTACTCTTTTTAGCCAATGGTTTCCTAATACATCTCATTTTATTCAATTTATCGGGTTTATTCACATAACATGCTCGAACTGTTTTTAAAAAAAAAAAAAATTGATGGTGCGTAAAATAAATGCAATTTGAACATTAGAATAAATGTTATCGTATGTTTTTTTCAAAGAGATTTTGTGTTCCAAGTCATATTTATTAACTTATTTCATTGTCATTTTTTTTTTGTTGCATATCAAAACGTATAAAATATCCTATTATATCAAACAAAATTATTTGTGCGTATCTTTATTTATATGTCAAAAAGCATTTTTTTATAAAAAAAAAAAAAAGACAAAACAAATAATGTTGTGAACAATGAGACATTTAACAATATATAAATAATTAACGTATAAAATATCCTATTATATCAAACAAAATTATTTGTGCGTATCTTTATTTATACGTCAAAAAGCATTTTTTATAAAAAAAAAAAAAAAGACAAAACAAATAATGTTGTGAACAATGAGACATTTAACAATATATAAATAATTAACATTTTATTTTATTTCAATACATTAATTTTATGTTATCACCAATCCATCTTAGCATCTAAATGGGCCTTTTGGACTTGGAAAAATTGCTCTCATTCCTGAGAGCACTTAATTAACATAATTCGAGCACGTTACCAAATTTCAAACTTACAAAAGTAAAATAGAGTTACAAAAAGTGATTGTCCAATTGGGCTTACCCATCAGGCTTTGTTGGGCCAAGGAGACAGCAGCCCGTTATCCTTCCACTGCAGAAAGCGGGTGGTTCTCGCTGCTCTGTGAAGCCAGCCTGACGCAGTATCCACCGCTCTAGGAACCAGGAAGCCCAAGCCTTCGCCTAGGCCACACGGTCCAACTCCCCGCTTGGAACGGGCGGGCCGGCAAACAGCCCCATCAGGCCCAGCCAGCTGAAGAAGCCCAAAGTCCATATCACCTTAATGCCCCCACTTGGGTCAGAAGCTTGCGTTACCAAGCTCGGCGAGCACAGCATCTAATACGTTACTTTATAAATGTTACAATATTTGCTCTTTTTTCCAATGTGGGACTATAGAGTTTGAAACTCTCTTATTGATGTCGTGACCAAATGACAGAGAATCTGTTTTCGGAGTAATAGTCCTTATAATCTAACATCATTGTAGTTTCTGTAAAATTAAAACTTATTAGAAATTTACAACTTTGACCGTCTTTATTCTTTCGTATATTTTAGCTAACGCCGTTTTACCGACTCAAATAAACCTCAGACACCTAATTCATGCTGTTACACATTGGTCATGTATCTTGCTCTTTCAGTACAGAAATACATGTGGCTAAGAGCCTATGAGTGTGTTAAAACCTTAAACTTTGTAAAGACATATATACCTGCTATGGACCTGAATTTATTCTGCACAAATTTTTACATACGATTTAATCGAACTTTTGTTTCTTCTGCTAACATAAAAACTGTGCAAGATGGACGATAAATCAAAATGAACCATCATTTTAACTTCCAGCTTCCATTTGTGAGCTTCGCCAAATTTCTCATTTTCGATTCTTTCTAGTTTCATGCTGCAACAAGTCACATTTTCGACTTCATATCGGAATTGTCGAGTGTTTTTGGAGTTACTCCGACTTCTATAAGAGCCGGGTTCACGCCTTTGTATAAATACAGGAAAAATAAAATAACAAAGCAAACAACATTCTACCAAGTGGCAAATCGTATCCATTTCAATTGAATGCAACTCTTCATCGAACCTTTCGTCGATAATTAACAATGCAAGTCTGATGCTACATGAACTTGTAGTATACAGTTTAAAATAACTAGAGTCGAGAGTTAACACATTTTTTAGTCCCACAGCACGACGAAACAGTTTCAGGGGCATTTTCACGCATGCCTGCCTTCACAAAGTTAACCACATGCGAAGTCAACTCGGTTTGATGCTTAGTGTATTCGTGATCAGCTCCTTTGACTATATACAAACTGTGATTCGGTATATGCTTGTCGAATTCGATTGCATCTTCAACTTGAACGAATTCATCCATTGTACCATGGACAGTGAACACCCTGCTCGCAATTTTGTTATAAAATGAAAAGGTCACTACATTTGAAACTATAATTCCCAATTTTTTTCATTATCTTAGATTACTAAAAGCTAATTAAATATCATTTTTTTTCATTAATTTCAAGAAAAGAAGAGGTTCACGATTCTGCGCACCTGCAGCTTTGTGGTATGGTTTGACAGGCAGCAAGAGTATCAGTTGTTAACCGGTCCATCAAGCTCTCCTTAGTCACTCGATACTCGATTTTCCCTACATTGTCAGGAGGGATGTGTAAATTTTCAAGACATAACAGATATTAGTTGTTAATTTCAAAATGACATCTGGCGTTTAGCTTAAAACACAAACGAGCTCAGTACCTTCAGAATCAGAAATACTAAAACAAGCAAAAAACTAGGCTTATAATATGATAAAAGGAGATCAATATTTTCGTATAAGCAAGTAGAAACTAATAACAAACTCACCTTTTCTGTTTTTCACATCAATAAATCCATTCTGCTCGATTTTTTCACGGAAATCTCGACCCAACCGACCTTCAATCCCTCTCCTTAGATCAAAACGGCCAGATACGTTGACGATTGTGCGTACATCGTTGTACATTGAGGCATACAAAAGCACAGCATTCCCCCCTTTTATGGATTTTCGAGTTTATTGAAGTGGTTAACAAAATATTAATAGAAGAACATAAAACAACAACAATTGGCTCAACTACAGATTTAATGATTTTCTTTCTTTCTTTCTTTTTGTTATTTCTTTCGGGAATAGGATAATTACTTCAGATTGTTTTCGATAACCAAACAACTCAGTACCATGAACAATTAAGCTAAAAGTAATTGCATAAGAGAAACTCGAAGCATCTTTAAATGGAAACTAAAAGCTGAAACAATCAATAGGGCGTGTTTGATAAATACAGTCGTAAGAACATAAATGTTCGCACAAATCAAACCACAAGCGAAATCATGAATCTCAACTTCTAAACTATTTTAAAAAAAAAAAAAGAAAAAATTTAAGCAAGAAGAAAGCCAAAACTTCCTTAAATCCCAACACACCTTTACTGTGCCCGACAAGTGCCACTACCTGACGATGCTCCTTCTGAAAGTGCTCGACTACAGAACGCAAGTCATCAGCTTCTCGACGGTAATTTCCATACTGAAATGATCCTTCACTCTCCCTATAAACCCAATAAAACATTTCTGCATATACAAAATTGGCAAAAAATAATACATTTTAGCCAAATTTTCACCAATTTTTCAACCCCTTACCCGTTACCGGCAAAGTCGAAGCGGAAGGCACTAATTCCTTCTCTTTCAAAAGCAAACGCAAGAGACACCATAGGAATCCGATCCTGAGAATGACTTAACACCAATATTAATGATCACAAAAAAAAACAAAAAAAAAAAAAAAGCTAAAACCTATGCACTAAGATACATAATAAAAACAGAGTCTTGATAGGGTTCATCGAATTCATACAACCTTCGAGGATCGAAATCCATGGCAGATAATCACAACCTCGCTCGACCCAGTTTCGTGCAGTATCCCGACAAGCTTCTCGCCATGTCTGTTCTGTATCGATACTATGTTTTTCTCTACTACCGCGAAAAAACAAAACAATGGAGATTAGCAAATCCATTATAAACACCAAAAATGAACTCAGATTTCCGTTTTTCTTCATCGGATTTTCCATTAATCATAAAATTGACGAACAAAACCTAACTGTTCTTGAAGCTAATTTCTTATTACAACATATTTTTTTACTCGATTGTCGTCTCCAATCAGCTTAGTTCAAACAAATCAAGAGCAATTTTAATTTTATAAAATCTACGAACAATTAAACATCGAAATTAATGCACCTGAGGATTTTTGCGGCTGGCTATGTTGTTTTTCCGACATCACAGAGGAAACCCCGAAATTGTGCTGCTTTCGATTTTATTTTATTTATTGTTCAATTTTAATTTGAACAGTCAAAAAACGATCAAAATTCAAATTTACCTCAACTTTAATTCAATTCAAGTTAATATTATCAATATAATCTATATCTATATTTATATAATGGACCAATCTTTATTACTAAAATTGACATAGTTTTAGGCAGGAAAATATTTTCAGTTATATTTAGTATATAATTAGCCTTTATCTATTATCAAATTTTATATATGAACATTAACTTTTTTTTGTTTACTCTTTGACTAACATTCATGAGTTATAAATTGACTTAAATATAATATTGATTGGTTACATATATTTTATATAATATCCTAATATTGATTTCGTAGTAATTTTTTGACACAATTAAAAATCGATTCAAATTATAAAATATTGATTTGATTAATTATATTATCATCTCATGGTTGTAAATATTAATTTTATTAATTAAGTTAACCGTTTAGAAGCATTTAAAATATCTAACAATAATCAGAATAATTGTGTTTTAATCATATTAACTTAATGAATAATTTACAGTAATAACAAAATTTGTTAAAATATAGTCAACATAACCATTAAAAAGTATATCTCCATTGATTATATTATTTTATTAGATATACTATTGAAAATTAAATTTAAAATATTAACAAAACTATTATTTGATGGTCGAATGAAATTAAGAATTATAAGTTTTACATTAAAAATATCTATATACATAAAAAAATGGTTAAGTTTTAGGTATATTTCTTATTCTATACTATTTAATAAAGAAAAGTGAGTAAATACGATAATATAGTCAAATATTATAATTAAAAATATATGAATTGATAATAATATAAATATATAATTTATCTAAACATTTAAATTGGATATTAATACATTCATTATATATGTTTAAAATTTTATAAAATATATAAATATAGATGAAAATTTTTAAAATAAAAATAAATTGTTTACTATGAAAAAAATTTGTTGCATAAGCGCTTAAAGTTACTGCAAATTAAATTTAATTGTCAAAAAATTAATATTTTATGCATCTAAATTTATAACAACGGAAAATAAATTTTACGGGTTAACACATTAGTTAGCTATCGAGCAATATGCAAAATATAAATTGTTGAAAAAGTTATAAGATCAAGATAATCAGTAAATTTTCAAGTATATGTAAGCAATTTGTATACAAACATCATATTTAAAATCCAAATATTGATACTATTTTGTAAACTTATAAATAGTAAAATTTATAAATTAAATAGTCAAAACCTGTAAAAATAAATTAAAAACGATATTCAAACAAAATCTATATTATTATTGACTTGATATATTGAGTCGGATATAATTACCATGTTGTCTTAAATAAATTAACAATATTTGAATAATAAAATATTAATTTATTGCATATCCCGTGCATCGCACGGGTATCAACACTAGTTTAATCATATCAACCAATCATTTTTATACATTACATTCACTTTAATTCACTATTCATCTACTCACATAATTTTAACTAATCATCACTTCTAATAATTTTTCTCCTACTTTACATCAAATCAACTTTAATTGTTTCATTTAAATATTATTTTAATATATCCACTAATAACTAATTATACCACAATTTTAAAAAATTAACTATAGTTAAAAAACAAATCAAATAAAAACTAGTCGAGTCAATTATTATAATCACTTGTGCTTCTATTAGTTTTCTGTTAAATAATTGTTGATGTTTATAAAAGAGGAAATTGCACCCCTTACATTGCCCTTTAAATTTTATTACACTTTTCCACTCCAAATATACTTATTTTTATTTTTATCTAAAGAAGCTAAAAAATTATCAAATATACCTAAAATCTCCACTTAACACTTATTAACCTGTTTTTAATGGTAAGGAGATAATTAAGGGATTTCAAATATCTTATACCAAAAAAAGTGGAAGAACAAAAAGGTGAAGAACCGCCCCCCCCACCTTCTCCAGTCAGAATTTTTTTTCAGAAACCGCCCCAATTTTTTTGCCCATTTCAACAATCAATGGCAAAAACCAAACTCCCTCATCCTAATCGAAGAGAATCGGTAGATGTTGGCGATGTTTCACCGGTTATAAGATCTAGTGCCCGTGCCCGAATTCTCGAGATCGACGGGAAGAGTCCAGAAACCGGCGGCGAGCAATAGTATACTGGAGGCGATCGGGCGGCTCACCGGCGGCGAGATGAAGGCGGTATAGGGCGGGCGGGTGAAGATCGTGGTACAGAGGGAGGATCTGAAGCAGGTTCTGGAGGCAATCAAGGACGGAGACGAAGAAGAAGATGACGCAGGGAACGACAGGCGAGGTCGTGCGATTGAAGTGAGAAGGGCTTATCTTGATACTGTCAGTAGACAGTTACTGATTTGAATAGTATATAATTCGAAGGTATATTTACAAAACCGAGTTGGTATATGTTGGGTATATTTGAGTATATCCGAAGTGTCTTTTCTCTGTTTATCTATTTAATAATTCTTTTTTTTTTATTATGGTTATATGTTGGGTATATTCGAGTATATCCGAAGTAACTTTTATCTGGAAGACTTGTTTTTTATTGCACATATACTGAATATGTACTAACATAAATTCAAAATATACCTCCTGGCGGCTGCGTGAATTATAATATTGCAACATATACTGAATATATACTAACATAAACTCAAAATATACTACCTCGCGACTGCTTGAGTGGAATATATACTAACATAAACTCAATATATACTAACATAAACTCAAGATTAGTTTTNNNTTTTTTTTTTTTTTTTTTTTTTTCTCCTGGTAGACATGACGGAAATCAAGGGACGGTTACGTTGCCTTTGTAACTGATATTGATGCCATATAATAAATAAATTAGTTTCTTTAGGTATAGTTGTAAATACTTTTACATAAAGGTAAGATTGAAAATATTTATTTATCTTATCGCATGAATAAAAATTTCCCTTTATAAAAAGCAGAGGCCCATAGGCAATAGGCCCGTCTATTAAGACTTTAGCTGGCCCATATTATTCATAGTGTATGAAAGGTTTTTTAATGGTTGATTTTTAAAATAAAATCATAAATAAATAATAGTAATAAACTGTACAACAGTATAATTCAGAACCAAAGTAGTAAGTAGTCCGTGCGATGTACATGGCAAACATTATAAATTGTAGGCAAAATTGCATATAAAAGCACAACCTTTTATGTTTTGGCAATTTAATCACCACCTTTGCAATTTAGCAATTTAATACACAACTTTACTTATTTCTTGTAATTCGAATCACAGGGCCCAATTTTCGGGCCTGTTCTGGTGACGTGGCATTTTGTGGTGACGTGGCGTTTTCACGTGTCAATGACGGGGCATCTTTGGGCTAACGTGGCATTCTATGTCAATTGAAAAAAAAAAGAATTTGTATGTTGTAGAAAAGGGGGTTTGAACCCTGGTCTCCATGGGAGAAAAGTAACTATGCTACCAACTCACCTATCCATGTTAGTTAACATATTCAATAATAATTTATATATATAAGAATTACGTATGAATAAATTATATTAAGTTTAGAATAATTAAATATATTATATTAAATTAATAAAATATAAAATTATAATAAATTAAATTAAATGAAAATAAAATAAATGAAGATAATTAAAAATCTTAAATAAATATAATAAATTAAAAAATATAATTTACGTAAATAAAATGTTAAATAATCGTAAATAAATAATGAAACAAAAATTGTTATTTGTATATAAAATAATAAAATATTAAAAATCTTAAATGAAATAATAATTTATTATATAATAATAAGTTATTATATTTATAATAAATTTATTTTAAATAAAAAATAAAAATATTAAATTAATATAATATTATTAATTCGATTCACTCTAACACAAAATATGAATTCAAAAAAATATATTTTAATTATCTTAATATATTATTTTTAATTCAATTTTATATAGTTTAATTTAATATAAATAAATTTCTTTTAGATTTAATTTGATTTCTTCATACGTAATGTGTAAATATATAAAAGGTAATTACATTTAACAACTAAGTTGGATTGGTGTGGTGGTAGCAATGGTTGCCTTTTAACCCTTTTAACCCAGGATCGAATCCCATATAGGGCAGACAACATATTTTTTTTTGTAATTGACACATGAGTCGCCATGTCAGTGCAAAAATGCCATGTAATTGTTGACACATGGAATGTCGTCAGCAAAAAAATGCCATATCAGCAGAACGGGTCGCCACGTCAGCAGAACAGGCCCGAAGTTGGACCCTGTGATTCAAATTGCAAAAAATAACTAAAGTGGTGTATTAAATTGCTAAATTGCAAATGCGGTGATTAAATTGCAAACACATGAAAGGTGGTGCATTTATATGCAATTTTGCCTAAATTGTATGTAATAAAACAATAATAGGAATATTGATTAGTATAAAAACATTAATTTAGAATGGTGATATTTTTATTTTATTTTATGATACATAATAATTTAATATATGAGTTATATATATATTTTATGATATATAATAATTTGTTATGAAATGCGAGCAATATAAAGAACACAATGTAAAAACCGGATCAAAATTATAACAAGTTTTTCTCTATTTCTTTCTCCTTATTTTTCGTACATGCTTCAGTATACACCTTTGCCCTTTTATAGGCAAATTTTGAGGCCCTCAATCACTAAGCACACATTCCAAGAAAATTGATAATATAATTAATAGTGGTAGATTCCACTTTATTCATAATATAATTTAATATATGAGTTATATATATTTATTTCACTCTACTATAAACTTGTCATTTCTTCACTTTTTGTCCAGATATGATATAGTTCTATGAGCATTCACGTGCGATGGATATAAAAAAACCACACCCCTTTACAATGATGGCCTATATGGTCACATGCAAAGAATATGAATAAATGTGGCATAATGTGATGGTACCTTGAGAATCTCAACACTCAA